TATTGCTGGCATCTCTGTCGGTACCTGTTACAACCATATATCTTGCTTGAGCAACAAGGCTACATATGATCACTAGCTACATGCAGCTTAGTTCATGAAACAATGAACAAAATCCTATACATCAATCTTGTTCTCATGGAAAGAACTCACATGAAAAAGAAATCCTTACCTTGTATGACTGAACAGCTTTGACAATGAAGCTTCTCTTACCGGGTGGGATTCTAAATGTAGCTCCAGTACTTCTGTCATTAGGAACAGCAAGCCTCTGAGTTAAGGATGAGGCAAAGCTGCGCTTGAGTTGGCTGACCACTGGATAAGCAGTGGAAGTCATTTGATTGGTTTTTTCTTCATTTGCGTGGAGTAGGGTACAAATTATATCACATATATCTATGGTAAGGATAAGATTTGCTAGTGATCAGGATAAGATTTGCAGTTTCGTCACTCCCATCTGAGCTAGGATGTCTTTTATATATTTTCTTTGAGTTAAAAGTGACCCACCAGACTAATAATGGGTCTGAACTCCAAAAATATATGTTACTGCTCCCAAATCATGTAATGAAAATTTTTTATTCAGACTCTCACTGACAAAAATAAAGGAGGTAGAGGAACTAGCAGTAATCAGTATGTTATCCACGTACACCAGAAGAAGTAGTTAAAAATCATTTTTATGTAAATAAAAAGAGAAGAATCTATTTTTGAGTCCCCAAAATCATGGATAAAAGAAATTCATGGAGACAAGCGAACCATACCCCATATGATGCTGAATTATTGAAGTGAGTAACGAAATTATATGTGTTTGTTATGGAGGCAAACTATTAGAGGGCGAAGGAATTTGTGACTGATCTGCATGAGAGACCAGTTGCTGCATGTAGGGACGAGCAGCAGCTGCTAGATGAGGAACAAATAAGAGTTTGGACGGTAGAGAGAAACTGGAATTGGGATCAGCAGGAGTTTGGACGGGGGAGCAACTATGAGTTGTCAAAGGAATTAGAAACAAATGTGAATTGGAGACTAGTTGTTGCTTGTTAGAATTTAAGGCATAATGATGGGCAAGCTGAGGGGCAGGAATATTGGAGAAATTAGACCCAAAAAAAAAATTATCCTAATGGGTGCAATCTTTGATGGTGAAAAGTTTGTAATTTGCACAACAGAGGGCATCAAAGAAGGCATATTTTGTGAATAAGGAAATTTAGACTCCAAGAAACGAACACGTACAGTAATATAATTTTATTTTTATTTTTTTTTGTTATTTCCATGAAATTTCCATGTAAGTTCCTAAGTAAATCATTTATTTTCCTATCATATAATTTCCATGAAATTTCCTAACAATTTCCTTAGTCTTTTGTGAAATTTCTATGTACTTTCCTTAAAGTTTCCTAAATCTAACATTTAATTATTTTATTTTGATGTTAATTTATGCTTAACTTATCCATAATCCATTCTATATGTCAAAACTCTTCAAGTCTCCTAAATTAATTCACTTTACTTTATTATTTTATTCAATTAAGTCCTTAAACCTTAGTCCCTAAACTTTAATTATTTTAAATTAAGGCCTTAATTCTCCTATATACTTCAAACACTTAAAAACATAATTATGCAAACTAAATAATTAATAAGACATAGAAACATAATATTACACAATTCTAAAACATATATTTTTTAACAAGCGAAATTAGCCTAAGGATTGTATAACCGACTAACTTTCCTAGTGAAGCAAGGTTCTAGTCTTAATGATTCTAGCTTCTTTAATGATTGTGTAATGGGGAGAAGCTACCCTAATTGTGTAACCCAATAGGTCCATTAGGCCTCCGATAAATAAAAAAAACACATATTTTTATACATACATGAAACATAATTGTCACATGTTTAACAAAACACACAAATAGCACACATATATATTTAGTGTCAAAACGATCACATATACGTATATAAAAACATCCTAAATCTGGATGTTACAAAACCCCCAATTTCACTAATAATCTTTACGGATAATTTATACACAATTAAAAATATTAAATCTCTTAAAAATTGAATTTTTGGTTTGGTATAGGATGATCTCTCTCACCCTTGCTCACACACTCACATATGATCTCTCTATCGCCCATTTTCCTTTAATGGTGCATTCACTATAACCATACTCTAATGGTGCACTCTTTGCAATTATGAAACAAATGAATTTACCAAGTTTGTTTATAGGCATTAGAATTAGGAAGAAAATTAAAAAAGACTGCAAAAGGTGCATTAATGGTTGAAGGTACTTGAATGGAGCTTTATTAAAAACTATACCATCTCTTTAGTTTTTGTCCCTACATACATACATTTGGTGAGTTCAATGCATTGATTCATCTTTTCCCAACAAATTTCCTCCTCCAGTAGATATGGAGATAAAAACTACAAACTAACTCCTCCTTAAAGAGAAAACCTCATACAAAGTTAATTTAGTATTTTCATTCAAAACCTCGAAGGATAAACTATACCTTTTGAACGAGTAAGAGCAATGCTAGAACTTAAGCGTGAAAACGTGGTTTATCATCATATCCGTTAGATTATCTACTGTATCAATTTCTTTTTTATTGTTGATAGATTCTTTAAATAAAATATCTCGAATAAATTAATACCCGGCATCAATATGTTTGGAGTTTTTGTGATACATTTGATTTTTTGTCAAGTGTATCGCATTTTAACTATCACAATAAACAACAAATGAACTCTAATAAAAGTCCAAGTCTATAAACCAAACCTCTAAGCCAAATGGCTTTTTTTGATGCCTCAGTCAATGCCATATATTCTACCTCTATAATGGAAAGACTAACCGTCGATTGTAAAGTTGCTTTCCAACTAACTACACAACTTGAAAAAGTAAAAAAACATAACATGTCAAGAATCTCCTTCTATCTAAATCACATACATAATTTAAATTGACATAACCAACTATATTTCTATATATAAGTATGACCGATTTTCTTCTCTATATGTGATGACGATTTTGTCTATAAGCGAAAATGAACAACAACTAGCGTATAAACATGATCTAACTCCCACATTAGATTCTTATAAAGAGATTCAATGTTTTTTATTAGAGCAACAGTCCATTACATAGATTTTTTTGCTTATACTAGTATCATGCATGGTAGTGGAGAGTTCAATAGTTTTTGCCGTAGTCAAAGCATAAGCAATGAAATCTGTATAAACATACATCTCGGATGGCTTAATCTGCCTGTGTTGTCTTTTTATCGCATTACTATACTGTTGCGGTATTGGTGCATTCTCATGTTGCACCTCCTCTTCTTTGAGTTGTACCATAAAAGCTTTTAACATCCTTTTGGAAGCTTCAAACTCTAACTCCACCTATTGTGTCATTTTAAGAATCACATATTTGAATAATTTTATTTTTTTTAGAATGAAGTATAAAAGATTCACCAAAAGTGACCTTTATGTTGATAATAAATTTAGATGATTTAGGATCATAACACCACAATCTATATCCTTTGACAACATTTGTATATCTAATGAATATTCATTTCTTTGCTCTTAGTTCTAATTTTTTTTCTTTTACATGAGCATAAATTTGACATCCAAAAATTCTTAGAGATAAGTCTCAGCAAGAGAATCAGACTATATCTTCTCAAGTGCCTTTCATCCAATAACAGTCGATTAAGATATTTTCACCAAGTAACATGTCGTGTTGACTGTTTTAGTCCAAAATTTCTTAGATAAACCTACACTAAATAGTGTACATTCTCTCTCTAAATGAGTTATGTTCATATATTCTACAACTCTATTTTACTATAAAGTATGACTGATCGTTTGGTGTCTAACGATGCCTCCATTCCTGCAAAACTCATCAAACTCTCATGCATAAAATTATAAGTGATTATCAATGCGGATACGCTTTACTTTCAGTGTGATTTTTTATCATTACCTTTGACTACTTAAAATTAACAAACACACCACTTTTGTTCTTCTATAAATCTAGACTTTATGCGAGAAATCATAAACAAAAATCAATAAATGCCTAGAACTATCAAGAGAGGGAACTTGTAAAGAACCTGAAAGATCTGAATAGATATAATCCACCGTACCTTTGGTTCTATGAAATGTAGTACAAAACTCGACACGTATTTGTTTTTCAAACACACAATTCTCACAAAAGTCAAGTTCGCTAGTTTTCTGATTAAGAAACAAACCTCACTTGCTTAATATTGTCATACATCTCTTGCTCATATGCCCCGAACACATATGCCATGATTGAGTATTTTTTGAATTTGAGTTGGTTGATGAAAATACAGATGCGAAGCTAAATACTACCTTATAAAAAATAAAAGCCACTCTTTTTTTCCTTTCATCACCGTTAGAATACCTTTTGAAACTCTAAAAATTCCACCTTTAGTAGAATACTTACAATAATGGCTTGTGAAACCTTTATGTTGACTTAGACTTTGATCAAGATTGGCTTTTAGTCTTAAAACCTTTATGTTGACTCCTCCTCACAATGAGACCCTGCACTATTTTTAGTAGAGTTATTGATAGACACTTTTTTCTTCAATTCTTGAGAATTTAAGAATGTTTTAATATTCATCTTTGCCCAATAGATTATATAGTTTTAGTATCAACTCAATTAAAATTTTCTATCAAATTTAGTTTGTGGTGCTAATTTTATGATCGATGAACGTATCTTGTGAAATATCATAAAATTACAAGATTCATAAAAATTTGAAGGTACTTACCGAAAACCATTGATCTTGAAAAACAATCAAGATAATCAGAGATTTAGATCTATAAATGTAATGATTTCAAGGCGTTAGAGCATCATTATCACTTTACATTTAAAGAAATCGAAAGTGTTAGGTGAAGAATTAAAAATTTTGAGTTCCACCTGATCTGTTATCATAAATTTAAGAAAATGTCATAAGGATCCACTTCGATATTGAAAAGGTCCCATGTCCTGTCAAAAGATCTAGTTTTAAACGTAGAGAATGGTTTCCCCACATAAGAGGAAAATGACGCAAGTAAAAGCTTCAACTATTGACCAACTTGGTCTCGATCATGGGTTGCATGAGCAGCGCTTATCTCGTGACAAAAGCAAACTGAAAATGACAATCTTATACCACATTGAGCGTAATCTATTCGCCGTCAAGGAGGGGTTGCCAGATGGTGCTCATGTCATTCTCAAACGCATTAATCCCTATCTACATATAAAGCACTATTTCAGTGAGCATTATTGGGCTCTTTTGCCCCTATCATCATGTGTAAAGGCTTTCAATCATTTTCCAATCTCGACCACCAAACATTCCATGCAAAAACATCACGAAATTGACCATTCCTACTATAGTATGACACTAGGATAGTGGTGCCTAATCATTCTTTCATTTTCGTTGTTATTGGCACAAAGCCCTTCTGGCCTTACCTATCTCATAACCATATCCTTAATTAATAATTAATGCCACTGTTTAAGTTTAATCCGTGATTTTCCCTTGGACTGCAGCTGCAGAACTCTCTTCTTGAGAAGAGTCGTTTGAGAAAAGGGAGGGAAAGTTGTTGCCGCTTTGTTCCGATACATGGAAAGCAAAGGCTTGCTGTTAGGCCCATTTATCGGCCCAGGACCCAGGGACCATTTTCCTAAATGGTGGGATCCATCTTACAGATTCATTTGCAGACTTGAAAAATATGGTACCACCCAACTCGTATCTCAACTGTTTGTTTAAATGTTTTTTTTTTTTTTTTTGGAAACCCATATCTAACATCTCAATTGTTAATCAATTACAATTAATTCGCGCATATAATTCCATTTTTTGTTATTGCCTCTGCGACTGCATTGCTGGACACAAAAAGTCTAAACATGCCACCCAAGAATGAGCTTTATTGATTTCGAGAGCATTAATTGTTTTCCATATTATGCCACGTGTCAAACTAAATATATTTATTTTAATTTAATAATTTATATTATATTATTAATCTAATAATATATATTAAATTAAAATTAATAAATATTTTTTTTTAATTTCATAATTTTTAATCAAATTTTATATTTGATTCATTCTTCTTTATTTTTTCTTTATAGATTTTGTTATTAAAAAAAAAATTATTTTTCATTACACATTTATTATTAAATAAAAACTTACAATAATCCTCGTCAAACCAATTAGTAATTTACGAGCCAATAGCAACTTAATTATTAAATATAAATTTAAAAAAGCGATAGCCATGAATGGTATTTTGGGACAAAACAGACTAGTTTTTTCTTCACGGATTTTTCTTGCAATCTATCATCTATCTCGCAGTTGTAAATTCATGAGAATATTCTCTCAACCCTCTCCTAAATTTCAAGTCTAATTCCAAAAATAATACTATATAAGTCCCATTGAAATTATTATAAAAAAAAAAAAGGATTAAAAGGCATCAATAAAATGTAGTTCAATCGATAGTATTTTTTATCTTCACCGTCTTTAAAAAGTCTCAAGTTCAAACCTTTTTTATTATAAGCATAAAAAGAATATTAAACATCTCTTTATACAATTTGTATTGTTTTTATAAAATTATATTCCATAATTAAATACGACTATACATAAAATATGTGAATTGAACTTTTAATGAGGGGTAAACTAGTAAAATAAGATGCTCAATTCTTAGATTTTTTTTTTATATATACCAAAAACAGATTATTCTTTTGAAAATTTAACTTGCTCAACTTATAAAAGGAACTAAAAGAATATTCCCTCCATTTTAGAAAGAGAGTCCTTTCTTTCTTATTTAGATGGCTCCAAAATTTATGTTTTTTATCAAAAAAAAAAAAAAAATTGAGTACCACATTTTTATTTTAAAAAAATCGAATTCACATACTTATTTTTTTCAAGTATTTTTAATTTTAAATGATAATGTAGTAAATTGAACAAAAATTATGAGTTAGAAAGTATTTAATGCTTTTTTTTTAATTTCAAAGACTTTATTTATGAACTAGAAAGAGTATTATCATACATGGGCTAATTCAATTATTGAATGAAACAAACTTTCTTAATTTATTGAAAAAACAAAAAAAAAAAAATTGCCACTTACAAAGATCCAAAGATTATTTCACTTTCTTTGGCGTCAAAAACAAAATGGAAACGCGGACGAAATGGTGGATCATTCGAGAAATTTTATAATACATCGGGAGTAACTAAGTGACATGTACAATAGTTACTCTATGGGCTCACTTTGAAGAGAGAGATAAACATATAAGAAAAGAGAGAGAGTAACGTAAGAGAGAAAAATAAAAAAATTTGAGCGGACGTAGAAATCTTCTTAGCACTTTTGATGGGTATAAATGTAATTTCTATCTTTTTTTATATATCTATCTCTCTTCTCAAAGTGGATCCATAGAGTAAGCTATTATACATGCTACTTAGTTACTCATAGTGTATTATAAAATTTCTCAAATCATTCATTTTTTAAAAACAAAAAAAAAAGTTTGTTAAGTAGTTTTTCCTTGTCATGTTGATGATGCAAAAATAGAAAGCAACAAAAGAAAGGAAAGACGAGTCAGTTGCAAAGATTAGAAATAAAGCAAGATTGTTGTTTATATTTAGAAAAGCAATATTTCATTTCATTCTCTTCGCATCTTTTCTTACAAATAAAGAGGAAAAGTCGAGTAAACATAAAAAAAAAAAAAAAAAAAAAAAAAGAGACTCGATTTTTTTGTTTTTTAAATCAGAAAAAAAGGGGGCATGAAATTTGTTTTAATTTGTTTGTCCAGTTGTGTAACTTCCTCTCTTTGAAACCTTGCCCATGCTGACTCAAAACCAAGCAAGCCATAAGAATTTCAACGTCACTAATTAGTGGGCCTAGGGCTGGGTAGGTGATACATGCATGTCATACAGTAATTCATGAGCTAAGAAAGATTATTGCTCTTTTTCTTATGCCTAATTTAGAAAAACAGAACGATCAACAAAAACGTGAGCTCAGACGGACAATGACAAAAGGTTACTTCGAACAGTCACAAATGGATAATTCTTTTGCTTGTACGAAACATTCAGATGTGGGTGCTATGGAGGAAGTACAAAAAACGATTTGTAGTACGAATAAAGAGAATTTTTATTTTCTACTCAAATTGGAATTTGCAACAGATACAACTGGAAAAGAATTGAGAAATTCCACTTAACTTAGACTTATGAAATTTTATATAGAATAACAAAAAGTGATTCAATTTCTACTATTATTTATGATATTACATATTCCAATGTAATTAGATACCAGTGAAATAAATAATTCGGGATTTGATCTCTTCGATGAGATAAAAACCCAATAATCAGAAACCATATGGAGCCAGCAGTACAGCAAAAATATTTGTAGGACAATGTTTAATGAAATTACCGTAAAGCTTTAGAGCCAAAAATTCACACATTGATCCATTTTATGCAAGAATTAAGATGGTTTTATGTGGGATTGGAAATATGATATTTTATGTTCCCTTAATCTGAGATCTTAAAAATAAATAAATGGTTATGATTTAGTTGGTTTGCTGAAAAAAATTAAATTAAATTGTATTACTGATTTACTGTTTTCCTTTAATTAACACCTTTAACTTTGATATATAAACAAATCCCAAATAAAAAAATAAAAATCGGAGATTCTTTGGTATAGAAAATTTCCAACGATAAAACTTCAAAAAATTGAATAATCGATCAAGAGAGAAACAATACATTAAGAAAAAGAGCAAATTAAGTAAGCTTTTGGGCAAGACAAGAACAAACTTTTTATTTTATTTTATTTTATTTATAACAACACCCAGAATTGTAAATAATAACAATAATAATAATAATAATAATAATGAACTAAGATTGTTATAGCTCGTAACATATTGCAAAGAGAAAACTTATAAGTTTTGCAATATTTTGTCTTTCTCTTTGTTGAATAAAAGAACTTAAAATTATGTATTGAAGGTCAGTATAATCAATACAAAATATATAGCTTAATTAATATTAATGCTTTATGAAGTAAAATTAACTATTAAATCTTAGCTCTTAATTAAGTTTTGAGAGCTCGATGATGTATCATGCTCGAGAGAACATGAGAATATCTAGATCCAGTACTTCGGGTTTTTAATTTAACCCTATTGATGTCGATTCAAGTTTTTGGTAAGGAAAAAAAGAAAAAGTCAAATTCAATTTCATGCCATTCTCAAAAACAAATATATACATTGATTAAATACCTATTCATTGTTGAATGATTCTATTTTATTTTGAATGCATTAAGAAACATTACTTGTATAACTAAAAGAAATAAAATCAATGAAAAAATACTAAAAAAACTATCGTGTTTATTCCCTTCAATAATATCCCTAATTAATTGTTTTATGCAACAATTTTTTCTTTTCTTGCGTTTATATTTTTTGTATTTTCATTTTTCATTTTTTATTTTTTGATACATTGATAATGAAATTAAAATTTTTTTATTTCCCTTTTTTCTTATAAAAATAAAAGATAAAACTTGTAAAATTGACAAAAATAAATATGAAAAAATAAAAGAAATAAAATCAATGAAAAAAGACTAAAAAAATAAATATAACCTAAGTTTTGGGTTATGACAATTCTGACCCTTATAACCTTTTGTAGAGCTGCTATTTGGCTTGTGTCTCAACTTAACAGCACCTTCTGATGAACTTTCTGCTCCTATAGAGAATGTTTGCTCATGTGCTTGTAATGATCCTATCAGCTCAATGAATGAGAGCTTTAACACCAAAGATATTGTAGCCTAGTAATAATGGTTTCTTGCAAGAGAAAACGAGTTCAAATCCTTATAAATTAATTCTATTAGGAACCTTGGAGGTACATGTTGGGTGTGTGAGTTATACCAAAAAAAAAAAAAAAAAGCTTTGACAAGTCTTTAGACTCCTCAACAGCTGCTACAACTAAATAAAACTTGTCTGGGAGACTAATCAACACTTTTCAACCACTCTTTGATCTGAAATTGATTCTGTATAACGTCTCATCTGATTCACAATTTTTTGTCAGCCTTGAAGAGTAATCCTTCACTGTCTCGGGTTCTTTCGTCCTGAGAACTTCAAATTCTCTTCTTAAAGGCTGCAGCTTGATAAATCTTGCTCTTTCGATGCCTTGAAATTCTTCCTGCAAGATTTTCTAGGCTTGCTTTATTGTGATTACACCTACAATCCTTGGAAAAATTATCTGTGTGACTGCTGAATGAATGAGAGTGAGAGCTTTAACATTTTTAATTTTTCTTGATTCTTTTTCTTCTGTTGTTCGGTTGAAAGTTATACTCCTGCAACTGGTGGTTCATAGCCTTGTTTTACAAATTTCCACAGATAATTTTCCGTGAGAAAAATTAACTTTCATTTTGACTGACCAAAACTCTTAGTTTTCTCCTCCAAAAATTGGTGGGGATGCAAGCTAAAGGCTGCCTGAAGCCATTCTTTCTTTCGGCCCTTAAGATCCTTAAGAGTGCTGATACACTTGTTGGTTTTTAAACCAGCAACAAAGAAACTAAAGAGCAGGAAAAATTAAGTCTGAAATTCTATATTTTTTCTTCTTCATTCATCTATTCTGTTCTGGATACAAGAGCAAAATTATATAAAGAGAAGTAGCTAAACTAGTAGAGAGTTCTAACAAAAAATCTTCACTTAATCTCACTAACTTGCTGCTATAGACTTCTACCATAACCTAAGGACTTGGACATTATTTGGTCTGCGAACTCTTAATAATACACTCTGTGGGTGTATGTGTAAGTATCATCATTCTAGCAATAAGGAGTGCTGTCTATTTTGGAGAGTCTCGAGGGAGCTTACACCTTTCTGCTACGAATCTCATTCCTGCTCCAAAATTTTATGTATACGAGATGGGGAAAGACTACTCTGGCTGGTTGTCTAAGTACTGCATTGATCTTAATGCAGTTGTAAGTGCCTTTCCTCTTGTATGCTGCTTTACCTAGGGAAACTATCACTTTACGACTTCGAAAGTGAGACTTCTTAAAAAGATTCGTGATTTTGAGCAAGGAAAAAGATCAGAATTTATGCGGTGTGATGCTCATCAGTGTATTGAGAGTTTGGCTTTGATGGTGTACTTTTACTTGCAATATGCAATTCGGTTAATTATTCTTGTTTGATCCAATATTAAAAAATATTCTAGGTTATTATATTGGCCTTCTAGCAGCTTTATTCTCAATAATCTCTTGAATGATTGCAGCAAGATCATTACGTGCAACAAAACAAAAAATGTCAGTCAGTTTTAATTCTTACAAACTTAGTATACTTTAACCTGGTCTAAGCTGGTATTTCAAATCAATTGGTTTTCTTTGTCAAACGGAAGAGCTAGAGCCCATTTTTATTGAATCCTAAAGAAGCTATGTGTTATGTCATTTTTTTTACAAAAAGCAATATTTTTTTGACTGCCCTCGAAATCCCCCTGATCAAATTTAAGTGTGTTTCTGGTTTTTTTTTTTTTTTTTTTTTACTCACACTCTTAACAAAATTAGCCTACTAAGATTTAAACCTCGTGATCTCTTGTTACAGTTTCAGGTTCTCTCTGATCTCGGCTTCTCACTTCAATGTCTCGCGGCCTTGATGTTATCTCTGCCTGTGGTCTCCTTTTGCCTTCAACCTTGGACCATCGTCCCTATTGATTCTGACCACTTTAGTGCTCCCTTTGAAACAGCAATTTTTCTTATGATCGTTCCATTGCCTATGAAAATCCTTCGTTCATGTAGTGGATTATTGAGTAAAAGAAGTTCCACACAGACATGTAAGAAATTATTGTAATTACAGTCCTACTACCAAGCAATATGCAACAATTCCTACAATAGGTTTCTCTTGTGAACTGAGATTAGCTTTTGATCTTTCGAAATCACCTTACAAAAAAGGGGCGATTCCTTACTTTTTGATGATTTTACTACTTCAGACTGTCAGATAGGAGATTACTCCCCAAAAAACTGGCTCTTTGGAGGGAGTAGAGAGAGGAGTGATTGCTTATATTTTGATGTTGATCTCATGAACAACGTAAACAAGTGAAAATGTCATAAACCCCTGATGACTGGACTATTAGAAGGTTTCTGTATATAATTCGAAGAGGGAGATTAATGGGAAGAGACTAATCTCCATTAAGGTTACGCATTTCAACCTTAACGCAATTGCAAGGGCATTTTCTAAGCTGGGTCATGTACTTCTCAAACTCCCGATTTATTTTAGCATCATTGGCTTTCTCAAGAAACACTTACTGAATTAGTTTAAGGAAATGTTTAGCATGGCAGTATATGAAAAGCAAGATTACAGAGCAGCATCGAAATTCTCATGGCTTTATATCTTTAGATACAATCATTTTTAAGCACTGAGTTAGTTGCAGACTACTAGTGTACAATCTGGAGAGCCTCACTTCCTGTGAATGGAGTTCAACGCTATAGCCAGCTTAGCTCAATATTCAATATAAAAGAGGAAATCTGTGAGAATCCTAACCCCATAAGTACACATGTTGAGATGCTGGGCTAATCTAAAAACCACTAGGACTGCTTGTTCTTCTAAGAGCAGCCATTGTTTTCAGAACTTTTAGCCCACATCTTCAGTCTTGAAGAAAATAAATAAAGGGCAGGATATTTATGGTTTGTCAGACACAACAACGTTCCTCTTCATTGTCTTTATTTTTGTCTTCAAGAAGGTTCCTCGTCAGGGTGTCTTCATTGTTTTGAATTTCCACTCTTTTCTCCTCACTTTTTCCCCACAAAACAGAATAGAGACCAAGCATGATAAGGATTGCACCAATAATCCTGAAATGGTAAGTAGGAAAGTTAGTGACAAAACAGAACTCTATTCATAAGCTACAAGTTAATTGAAGAATTCCATGAATTTTGAATTTTCCTTTCTCTTCTTTCTTCGAATTTCCACATACCCTCCAGAGTACAACTGATCACCAAGAAATAAAGAAGCCATAATAGCAACCAAGATTGTCTGCATTGGTTGGAAGATAGCAACAAAAACAGGACCACCTTTGTGAATGCACCATGTTTGAAGGGAAATGACTATAGCAGAGGACACAATTCCCTAAACAAGAATGAAATTGAAAATAAAATTTCATAAAACAATCCAATTTAAACTCAATACATGCGTAAAATAATGGAAGAAAAATAGAAGGGAGAAGACTAAATGTAAGTTAATTACAGCGTATAGGATTGTGAATAGCTCTTCTCCTGATCGGATTTTCCAATGGCTGAAGTCAGTTTCTACAAATGCTGCAATGACCAAGAACTGGATCAATCCGAAAAAACATGTAAAAGAAGTGACGGAGAGCTTTGCTGGATACTTCTTCAACACAGGAGCCTGCAAAATATTATTTCACATTTTAGCTCATCAGGCGAGTTGTAAATTAGGTAAGAAGGAAAACCATTAATCAAACTTGGGTAAATTATATGCCTTCTGTAATTTTTAGCGATGTGTATCAGGTTAGCGCACAATTTTTTATAGCTCTGGTCTTATGCAACTTATATGGTGGTGTCAATTATATGCTTACCTGAAAGACCATCCAGCCTGCCCATGATAAGCAGTGCCCAAACAGGAATATGCATCCCCATGTCCAGTTCTGCATTTCCTTTGAAGACATGTCTTCTTCCAATGTAGTTCCTTGTTCTTGTTGCGTTATCTGATGCAGTAGAGGAGGGCCTTTGTAAAGAGTAATGACAGATGCACCCCCTATACTTGCAATGGTTCCTACAACTTTGGCTAGTCCATCTCTCCTTGAAATGCTAACTTTCTCAAGTCTGAGGAAAGGACAAGGTATGAGAAATGTGAAATGTATCTGTGGTTCAAGAGAAAGAGAAGAATACTGAGTGTAGAGAGTCTGTGTTACCCTAGAGCAGAAGCCATGACAAAAGTAATTGCAGGAACTGAATTTTGCATTGCTGAAGCAAAAGTTGGAGAAGCATAATACAATCCCAAGAGATAAAACCCTTGGTTTGCTGTGATTCTGGGAACAAAGAAAAGACAGGTTAAAACAACAGTAGTGGAACCATCACATTTCAACGAACATACATTTTAGATACCAAAGTGTATCTTCTTACCCCAATAATGCTAGAAAGAAGAGTTGAACCAGCACTGAGAAAGTAAGTGGTGGCCTTTCCTTCCTAAAAATGTCAATCCAAAATAGAGAACAAAGGTACATGTCAATCCAAACCAGTATATATATATAGAGGGAGAGTACCAAAATAGAAATAGAAAAGGAAGCACCAAACTGAAGACTCACTTCTCAAAGAAATAAGCGAAAGGACCCAATAAAAGCAATGCAATGATGTTCCTATAAACTGGGTAAACAACTTTGCTAACACCAATGTTTAGTGCCACCCTAGAAACAATGTGAAACCCTGAATAGCAACACTGTAGAGCAACTAAGGCCAGAAGAAGTTTCATTTTCTGAGGGAAAACACTCTCATTTGCCATATTTCTCCTCTCCTTATTTTCTGCTCGGCCTTTGGGTTGTAGAGTTGTAGTACAATCACCAAATCTAAAGCTGCTTATATAGTTATGTGTAAATAAAGGTACATGTGTATTTTTCCTTTAGTTGGTAGCATTAACATTTTTAATATACGCTATTTGTCAATAATATATTATTTGATCGACGTTGCATGAAGGTATCAAGCCACTTTCACTTTACATATATTAAAGGATCATCTCATCTAAAAGCTTAAGTTGATAGGTGAGACCCCAGTAACATAATTAATTTGCACATGTCAACATTGCCTTGTGCTTAATACTTGAAAAATGAAAGATGATAAGACTTGAAATGAAGACCTTTTGGTCAACCAAGCTTTGATATCACATTAAATGATCATCTCACCTAAAAGTTTAAACAATTAGATGAAACTCTTAGAATATAATTTATATTAGTCTCTAACAACATGCATATCCAATTAGCAACGATATATGATTTTATCAATGCATTATACCACTATGTATCTCTGGCTTGTTGGCTAGGTGATATGCATTTCCCTCAAATATCGTTTCCTTTGTTGCTAAAGATTTGAATTTTGTTGGGGAGACAATGTCTAGGTAAAGCACGTTGGCCAGATGATTAGAGAGTGAGCATTCTGACTTTCAATCAGCAGATGATGAATCATGAACCCACCCAATGTTTTAGCTAAACATGTTCTTAAGCATTATTGTTTGTGAATTGATAGCAGACACAATAATGCCAGCAATATAAATAAATTTGATACCAAAAGGCAGGTTTGTCTTTAAGATATAATGTTAGATATACTTGGTACTAATTATTTCAACAAAATAAAATTAAGTGATTTGTTGAAAATTATGTTATAGGTGGTGGTTATTGTGAATTTTTATTGGAGCACAAGGTGGGACAAAGAATCATTGGTTGCATGTGTTCCTTCCTCCACATGATTTGGGTATTCTCATTTATAATCTGTATACAAAAACAACAAGTTGAGAGAGAGAACACATGTTGATAAGATGCAATACTAAATTTTTACAATGGATCAATCATGTCATGTGTTACTCCTAGATTGAAACTTGTCACAGCAGAAAACTACTCCTAGTACTAAAGCTATTTTGTTTTTCACTTGCCTCAGAAAATTCACTGATGTAATCTAGGAATTTGTTATTTTGTACTAAACTTTCCAAATACAGAATGTGGCTTCACAAGTTAATGAAAAAACCCATGTGACAATGGTTCCATATGATTCGTTGGTTCTTCTTATCTCACGTTGGCTTAAGAGCAAAGGTGATTGAAATGGGATCGTAGTTGGTTTGAGCAGAACTACTCAAGTTGGTGCCAAGCGTCCATACAACTACTACAACTTTAGGACAGAACTGAACATGCAAATTTTCCCTCGTAGACAAGTATCTAATTTGAGACTTGGAAAGATTTGGTCAGGATAAATTCATGGTCAAAATTCTTGACAAGGGCATAGAGATTTTTCTTTTTCTTTTTTGACTGCGTCCATGAACCACCTGTCAACCTGGTGAAGCAAGTTACAGAATTGGTGGAAATACTTGCTCACCACTCTGTCTGTGTCCAACTATGTCCATCATGCCTTGAGAGGATTTAAAAGAATGAGATTCTTGTTAAAGGGAACGGCCGAGCACAAGAGCAACATAGAGTTCTTTAAACTTTAAAGCTTCATTCTATGAATGCTGAACTTGATGTGGCTTGGAAAGGTTTAGTTTAAGGCATGCTTACAGACAATAATCTTTTAAAAAGAAAAGAAAAATAGCAAGATGTTCACGTATCCCTTCTATTAGATGGGCCCTTTTAAGTTCAAAAAAAAAAAAAAAAAAAGGAAGAAACTAAAACATAATGGTTAAGTCAGAAAATAAACTTTCAAATTACTATTACCTACTAGGGAAAAAGAGTTCAGAAAAAACAGGGTAAGGTTGCCAGGTTACAGTAATGAATATATGTATCTTGAAACATTTAGAAATCGTTACAGAACCAGCACCCACAAGAAGAATAAAGTTTCTTGCTCATTGTTGTACACATCACTACATATTTCACTGATTGAGCGTTAGTGCATAGCTTCATATCTAGAAACCTGAGTATACCACAGTCAAGCAAAATCAAGTGATATGCAAACCTAGGCAACTGATAATATTTGACAAAAAGAGATGAACTAAGAACCAATATTTTGGCAGTTCTTACAGAATAAGAAGAGTCGAGACCTCCAGGCTCCATCTACTGATGGCCAGCTGGAAAGTTTTTCCTAAGGTAAGAATATTGGTGGCCCTTTGTGTTGTTAACTGTGCTTGAAAACAATGATAATTGCAGTGCAATTATCTTTGCAGCGCCGCTCAAGAACAGCTTCCCTTACAAGACGGTGGCTCACAGCTGCAACAGTTAAGCCTTCCTGCCAAACATATTTAGCTTGTAAGTCATCAATTGATGTAGGGATTTAAAAAGAGAGAGAGAGAAGCAGCAGCAGCAGCAGCCCCGATGCTCAATTACATGATTTGTGTGAGAAAGTAATTTGCAATCTTAAATATGGAGTATGGTGATCCTACAGGTTTCTACAAACACAATAGAAGTAACTTCAATATCTAGAAAGTCAAATTCAAATTCGACTGTAACACTTTAGCTACAGTTTTCTGGATGTAATTCTGCTAATTTTATGACTTCGCTTTTAAGCACTTAGCATTCATTATAGTAGTGGTAAGTTGTAATTTTAATGAGCTGTACCACTTTACCATCCATGCACCAGCCTTAACTGATTATATAGAAACTTAGCAAGTCTATTTATAAGCACCTTGTATCAAATTTCACGTACTAATTCCCACACAATAATATAAGTATATAACCTCCTCATCCTTCTAGCCAAAAAAAAAAAAAAGGAAGAAAGAACTTTAGGCTTGGGAAAAGGTACATATATTCATTGACATGAAGCTAAGTTGCAAACCATCCTACATATAGCCCTTATAAACTGACACACAAAAAAGGTTATTAGCTCATTTCTAAATTTAATTCTATATAGGCTATCTACTAGCTTTGAATGCACTTAAAAGGCTAAGAAGCATAACTACCACTTACAACCCATCAAATGCTATTGAAGTAATACAGTGCAATTTGAATTTCACTTCCTAAAAGCTTGCTTCTAGATGCAGTAATTTTCTGTTAAATTGCCTCTGTTCCTTAAGGTCTATTACAAGGTAAATTTCAACAACTAAATAAAAAAGAATAGCACAACGGACAAAATTCAACTAATTATTCAAGTTCTACAAGGAGTCAAAAAGTGATTCACTACTAAACAGGTGTACTTTTACCTTCAATAATTTCTGAACAAATTCAACAGCATCACTTGGTCCAAATACCTGAAACAAATACAAAACATCAATGTATAGCATTATTTTTCATTCTTGCAGAAGTAGAACTCAAAGAAGATAATATGCATATATCAAGTGGACTAACTATAATAGCAAATATGTCAAAGAAAGAAATTGAAGCCATACCTCCCAAAGGCCATCACAACCAAGAATAATAAAATGCTCTCTCTCTGTGAGGTCAAAAGAATGAATATTTGGAGTTGCTACAACACCTACCTGTAATTCCCATACTTATTTCAAATAGCAAACACATTGTATCTTGCAGGTTGATTCAAAAACTAATCTCACCCAGAATAGATCTATACATGTATTTGGAGAGAACAATAACATGAAATAAATACAGCAAATTAAGAAAAAAAATAAACGAGGTATGGCATTTCAAAATAGCTACTATGTGACACACAAAACTCTCCACAAGAGAATACCATAAATGACTGCAAAAACTTCCATACTGCAGGATGACAAATATATATGGCTTTGATAAGAAAAGACATAGAATAATTGATAAAATCATAGTGCACTTGGCACTTGCATATATTTATCAAGGCTGCAACCAAATCATTTGCTTATTTCTCTCTAGTTCACATCTTCCATTTGATTCAAAGCAACCATCCTGACCTCTCAATCGTTTACAAGTGCATTATTGAGTCTTAATGATATTGTATTAGCATCAAGAAAATGGAAAATTATATCAGTCTAAGCTCCAACTCTGATTTTTGATAAGGATACCACTCATTTGTTTGTAGAAATTTATTCAGATTGCCAAGCTTCAATTTATTTCTAGATAGGATTGTAGGCAAGCAATAGCATTATATTTCTCTTTGAACTACGTCCCATTTCCAGCTCTGTAACAATGACAAATATACAAATGTTGACATCACACATAAATAAAGAACTTCTAACATCATCTTCAGAAACCTAACTGTTCTGCAAACATGAAAATACTGTGTCAACTGTGCAAAACAGAAGCACTAAGAACCTTCTTGAATTGGCGATCTCCAAAAGCCCTTGAAACTTCAAGGCGACCTTGTAATCGACCATTTGAACTCACACTTCCACCAGACTGAAAATAGCATCATAAGAGTTAAAAGTTAGTAAATTCATTCAAATATCAAATAAGTAGAAGCAGTGATTATTTCATCATCCATATAGGATCCCTTCGTCATTTTTTTCAGCTTGAATTGGACTCCATTACTTTTTTTTTTATGAACATTTTTCTTTGTTCTTTTTTTCTTTCAAACAATTGAAGCAAAAGAATCAAAATATCACCCAAAATCAGAAAATAATGGTAGAAGTTGAAAAGAAAAAATAAACTTGCTCTCAGGAGATTGGAACTAAACAGCTTATACCATTCTGCCAGGCAATGTTGCCTCCAGGACTTATCTTGCAAATAAAAAACTTGAACAACTGCATTAAAAGAATGATGCCTCCAATATAGACATACAGTGACTATAATTACTCAACCTCATTATCAAAAAAAGCATTTTGAAAAGAGAGGGTAGAAAATAAAGAATGAAGCACAATATCAGCTTAGAGCAAGTATAATTTAAACATATATAGTCCCTACCTTTTGTATTCGAGCACGTTCCTGTGGATATATGGCTTTGTGTTCCCTTGTCAAAACAATGGCCTTCAGTGGACTTACTCCATCTGGATGATTCTGTGATCCATCAGTACTAGATGATCGGGCTAAGACTGCTTTTGCATCCCCTATGTTAGCAATGAAAACCTAGGACACATTTGGTAGTAGTCTATCAAATAAAAGCTCATCAAAGATGCAGGAGGATAATAACCAAAAGTGATGTAAAAGTTAATTGTTAAGTTAGCAGTAGTAAATTGCATAAGCATGCACTGGTATGATTAATGTAACTTAATATGAAATTGTATTCACATATCAGCAGCTGATATGTGAATACAATTTCATATTAAGTTACATTAATCATACCAGTGCATGCTTAAGGAGGAGGGAAAGAAGAATGTGATAGAGAAGAAAGAAAATTACAAGGAGAAATGAAATAAATGTAGATGACGTGTCATCTGTCTTGCATTTTCTAATAAAAGATTCAGTCTATAAGATGGAGCATGCGAGTATTGATAGAGATAAAGCAAGTGGGGGAGCTCAAATATCATGGCAGGTAAGAATTCAATAATGACATGAGAAATTCATAGAGATTATCTTAGCTGGGTATGGTGTAAAGATAAAAGTATTCTAGCAGGAATCAAATTTAACTAGTGCTGGGAAAGTTGGAGAGGAAATTTAAGAGAAAAGTGTTTCATGACAGAATGGACGAAAGCTACCCGCACCTGCAAAGAATAAGACAGAGTATTTATGGTTTTGGAATGGTCACCTTTGACCAATAATCTTTGTGGTCGACAAATAATACAGTGCTCAGCAGTTTCATTGGCCAGTAAAGGAATGAGATGACATGTTTAATAAATAACACAAGACAAGATATTCAATATCCCTAAGTAAGGGCCAGAAAGGAGTGGGACGTCTAGACAAAACTTAGTCTGAACTCACCAAGACAAATCTCCCATGAAGCAAAGATTTGTCGTAAATCCTACCACAATTCTCTCAAATAATTATCTTTGTTGTTCATGATGGCAATAACAATAAATATTGGCAACTGTAAGTATTTGAAATTAATCAAAGAATTTTGTTGTACCCAAAGGTCCCATGCTAGTTATATGAATGTTTAGGCAACATAACAATCAAAAGCTAACGGAAAGGAATATCCTTGTGGAAGTTAAGTGTATAAAAGTTAAACCATAGAATGAGGATTTAATTCACCAAAATCAAACCTATATTCCAGGTGAAGATTATGCAAACAATTATTATTCTCTGCAAGTTTGCAACCCCTATGTTTAAGCATCTCCATCTAACATACACTAGCACTAGATCAACATTGTAATGTAACTTGATAATGTTGAATCATAAGAACCATTCCTTAGAAAAAGAATATGAACCTCCTAGGCACCTTTTAACTATGAGTTCAAATTTGAACAACAATAGCAAACTTAAGGTCGATAAGGACTGCAAACTTACTTTTTGTCCCAATACCCATACACACACAGCCGTAGCACCATCTTGCCATCCTCCTAAAAGAATGTTATAAATGAACTGGTGAATTTTTGGTGAAACTCAAAAAAATTTCTCAGCAGGTTTACAGCTCTATATAATCTATAATTCGAAAATGGAAATGAGCAAATTTAGAAAATTAGAAATTAGCTAACATTCGAGAAATTTATGCAAGAGAAATTATTAATAAATATGCCCAGGACATCACTTTTTTTGTGTTAAAGCAATCAACAAAAAGAAAGTACAAGAATAGTGTGTTTAAGAAAGGAGATAGATCTTTTAGAAAGATACAGTGTGATGTTATCAGGTGAAAAGTTCATTTGATATGGACCATGCGTCTTCCCGTTAAGAATTTAAAGCAGAATATTCTGCTCAACAACTGTGGAAATGTTTCACAGTACATAATTTCAGATCCAACATTACCTTGGCAATAGAAATGGTAACTAATAAGTTGAACGTACACAAGTCATATATTAATTATTTATACACTGATGTCATCTATTTCTCAACATATGCAGCAGTGGTTCTAATACTTACAGCACAGTATTGATAATGCCCTTTCATTCTATTTCCCGATTTACCAAACAACAGCCTGAAAAAGAAAACATTGCTTCGAAAATAGAAAAAAGATTAGGCTGAATACATCAGAGATTCGATCATGGCATTTACCTGAAGTGCTTTCTCGAAGGAGAGACTCGTCAGTTTTCTGAAAACCTAAATCACAAAAAAGATAAAATAATATATACCTCAAAACAAAAGCAGGAAATACTAAAAACATAGAAACATAGACAAATTTCATGTCCAAAAGATTTTGAATAACAATATTGAAGGGAAAATATGGGAGTAGAAGGCATGGAAAATGAATTTATACCATCAAGTATGGCCTTTTTGGCAGCTTTCACATCCAACTGCAACACCAGAAACATTACACCATTATTTTTAAATGCAAAGCACAAATATTTTAACAGCAGCAAATCAGACGACAAGAAAAGCCATCACATTACAAACTCAACAGGTAAATAGTAAGGACAAAGCCTCATAAAAGTACACTACAAGGTGAAATGAAAACCAATTTAGAAAAAGAAATGATGGTTCATAAAAGGGCACAAAGGATGAAGAAGATATTAGAATTGAAAGGAAATGAAAATAGCAAAAGAAAACAAATGAAAATGTCTTTCACAATCTACTTTCTAAACATGATTAAATAATGCAATGAAAGAATTTGAAATCATTGTAGTTTCTCATTAAAAAGAAATTAATAAAAAAGAAGCAATAAACAAAGCACAAACTAAAAACACACCAACTCACGTGGTAAGCCAGAAGAGAGAACATTTTTATGTAAATTCTTCTGTGCATACTCAGCTGCTAACCTCCCTCCATGTCCATCATATATTGCAAAATGCGCGCATCTGTAAATATTTAATTAATTAATTAACTAACTAACTTTTGATAGTTTTTTTGATTTATGAAAACCCAAAAAGAACAAAAAGAAAAACTAAAATACCTCAAATTTGCAGGAGGAGAATCCAAGCTAGCGTCGAGTAACACAACCCAAGCATCCTCCATGGAATGCCTCGATCCTTTATCCTCCGCCGCATTGGCTTCAATCTTAAACTCCTTCCCCGTCGCAATTTGTTGCTGTTTTTGCTGCTTCTCTTCCCTTCCACTGTCGTTTCGCTTGCTTTCTTCACCCAATACTTCAGCTTCAGTTTTTTGTCTCTTCGACTCTGAATTTGATTCCTCGATGATGCTTGGGATCTCGCGCTTCAGATTTGAGGTCTCTACTTCAGTGACTGGATCCTTGCTTCTTTCGCTCATTTTTTGGATTCTGTTTGGTTGCAGATTAAAAAAAATGGAGAAGATCCTCTTTTACTTATAATTTGATTATTCTTTCTTTTCTATTTTATTCGTAACGTAAAAGAGCGTTTATAAACGAGAATAACGCACACTGTAGACGGAATAAGGATGCATCCGGGTGAAAAGGTAATAAATAGAAAATTGCGTTCACTATTAGAAAATGCTTCACTTTTGTCTGTATACTTATAAAATTTTCAATGCTGTCCCTATTCATTTCCATAACTAAAAAATAAACAATCATTTTTACTTCTAATTTTTATTTTTATTTTTTTTTACTTTTATGAGTTTGTGAAATATTGTAACATGTTTGGGATAGAAGAGAAAATATAAAAATGTGGGTAATAAGGTATTTCTTTTAAGTATTCTATATTTCGAGTTCCACAAAATTTTAAAAACTCAAAAGATAATTTTAGAAAATTCAAATCGATCTCAATTTATTTAGCTAACATTTTTCTCCATCAAGTATTTTTTTCTTTTCTTTTTTTTTTGGAACATTTTGATTTCCAATTTGTGCTAGCATTATCAAATACTACATTAGAATTATGTTTGTAAAATGATGAATAAATTATTAATTGATAAAATATGATATAGGATGTTGCTATCCGATATTTAGAGGACTTCAAAATATTCTATTAACAATTGTTTATTTTGTTTTTGATTGGGGATGTGAGTTAAATTGCATTTTAGAGTTGTGACCTAGTATTAAAAGAAACTAAAATTGACATTAGTTCGGCGATTTTAGGATAAGGAGTTGGTTATCCTTTTAGAAATATATTAATCACCCAAATGCATATTTTTTTAGAAAATGTACCACATCTAATTTAATCCTAAAATTTTATCTTCTAAAAATTTATGTTTTTACCATAATTAATTCTCAAGTCAAAATTTCAAGTTTATTACTTAAGTCAAATTATTTTTTTATTTTTATTTATGGCATCATATTGAATCGGTCATCGGACCCCATTGTCGAGAGTCTCGTTAATTCAACATCGGATCCAGTTTAAGTCTCGACATAACTGGTATATCGAAGAACGACCTAATTACTAAAGTAATTGATTTGAATTAATAATGCTCATCCTTATTGTATATGAGACTCATTAAATTTGCTTAAAACTCTTGCTTTCGTTTTTTGTTATTTTCTTAATTGAACTAAAAGTGCTTTATTTTGATTTTGCACTTATCATAACTAATTCTTTTCCTTTTCTTTTTATTTTTTCATAATGGGTCGAGGCCAACATCGGTCCTTATTCAAATAGGAGACTCGTAAAGTCGATTTAAATTTTCTTAACTAATCTAATAAGAAAAAAAATGCCCCTATTATTATTATTATTATTTTAGGAATATATATCAAAACCCTCGTCCATTCCTAATAAATAGAAGACTCATTGATCCGACATTACAAGCAAATAAAATCCATACACTAAAATAAAATTTACAACCTAAATATTTCTAAGTTTTTTTATAACAATAAAATTAAACATTATTAACAAAATAACATAATGAAATGAAATAAAAATTAGGAGAAACAAACCAAATGATCACCGAAAGTGACCAAAATTCTCTTACAATGTTGCTTGAAATGAAAAAAAAATGTCATGATCGGATATGAAATGACCAAAATGCCCCTACATTTGAAAATTACCAAACCGCCTCTTAGAAATCCCAACGATGCTACTCGCTTGCTCCATTCGCCATTCAATGTCTTACGGGTGCATCGACTAATCCACATGTTGGAGGAGATCCGCGTCGATTGTTTTATTGTGGTGTCATTGTCGCCATTGACGAAGGAGGAAGATCGACGCCGAGTGAAGTTATGGTCGCCTCTTCATCTTTTCTCGATGAAGATTTTAGCCATGTCGAGGCACGAGGAGGATACCAAGCTATTTAGAGGACCGCAAGGAAAATTTTCACGACGGTTAGAAGGTCTAATTTGGTCGGATTAGAGAGATTTGTTTGGGTTTGGAATAAACGAATAAATAGGTCGATCGATTCACCTTCTCTTCAATTTGGCTAATTTTGGTGATATTTTGTCATGATTTCAAGGGGAGAAAGCTTCTACAAGGATGAAGGACACTTCGTGGTGGTGGCGATTGTTGGTTTGGCTGAAAAATGTTGATCATAGCGAGCTCAAAATTGGGTCGGCCACCAATCTTCTCTCCTTGATTACAACCTCCTCCAAGCATCATCTTCTTCGCTAACCATTCGGGATTGGTGGATTTAGTGATGAGCTATCGATTGATAGTAGTGGATCAAAGTAATTTTGGTCGGAGGATGACCAATTTGAGTGAGGAAGTTAGCGGGTTTGCGGATTGACCCACGGGTGATCCAGCTCTTTTAAGGGATTGTATTGGCGATTGTTTTTAGGGATGAATAGTGATTTTTTATTGGAATCCATGATGTCCTCTATATTTTTAGGGAGAGATGAATAGTTGCACCTTCTCTATGTTTTTTCTTTTAGCTACGTTTTTTTTTTTTTTTGGAAGATGAGTAATGGAAGATAAGGTTTTTGTTAAGAAGATGGGTGATGAAGGGTAGGGTTTTTTGGGTAGGAAGATGGATATTGTGGCTATGTTTTTTTTTTTTTTTTTTTAGGAAAGATGGGTGATGGAGGCTCCCCTAAAAAATGAAGTGAAAAGGTTGTTTACATAAGAATTTTTTTATGGATTGGGATAAAACCAATTTTGGTTCTCTTTTGGTTTGATTTTTTTAATTGCAATGTATTTTCCATTATTTTTCTCCATTTAGCTCTTAATTGAAATTGTTGAATCCTTATTGTCTCGATTTCTTTTAATTTCACACTCGATTAATTCTCAATCAAGTTCCTTGATTTTTATCCTCTTCCAATTACTTTCATATTTGAATGTCACTTGGTCATTGCTTTTTCACATCATTTTCAATTGGATCCCAAATAATCTTTTTAATTTTTTTATTATTTTGTTCTCTCTTTTTTTTAATTAAAAATAAGGACTAGTCCTAAGAAATTAAAATCCTAACAATTTATAAAAATGCACTAAAAATCATGAAAAAGATAAATTATGTAACATTTCATTTTTTAAAAAATAAAATAAAATTTCTCCTTTTTCTTTGTAATTTTGTATGAAAGTAAATGAGGAGTCAAAATAGTTTATTACGTAGGATATCATGAAAGAAATTATCATCTTCCTCCAAAAAATAAATAAATAAATAAATAAATAGAGAAATTATCTCACAAACTTGGACTTTCAATTAAGTCGTCACCAGTTCAACGAGAATATGGGCATATAGATAACAAAGTCATTTCTCCGATCTTGAAAATCTAATTAAGATTAACTAAAAAAAATTAAAATAATTGAAAAGTAATATAGGAGTTGAAATCTCAAGTCTATTCTTTCATCAAAAATTCAAATTTAGATAGCAATTTAAAAAACAAATTGTGTCAAAAAAGCATAATCTATTTAATGACGGATATATCAAATTTTATTTGAATTTTTTTTAATTATTATCGATGTTTCTCCGAAAAAATATAAGTCAAATATGATTTAATTAGCAAATATAGAAATAATTAATAATGGAATGACTAACTTTTTCTATTAAATTTTCTAGGATCGTTATTTATGACATTTAAATATAGCAATCTTTTTCTTTCTTACTTGATAAAAAACTTTAAAAAACATTGCTCCTTCCTCAAGTTAGATAAACAATTGGTCATCCTAAATTTAAATTTTATTATATTGCATAACTATAGAGAGGGTTATTGTAGAGTTGGTTTTGTGGTTTTTTCCTCTACGATAGAGAGGATTTTGTATGCAAATTTTGTATTTTTATGATTGTGCTCTTGTGATTTATTTATTTTCTACTCTTAATTTTTGTGTGTGTTTGGGTTGATTATTTTTCTCAAGAAATCTAATTTATACATAGTGAGATTAAATTTCCAATAGTAATGTTAGAGAATGAGATGGAATATTTAGGTAAATTAGATGAAAAAAATAATTTAAAACCTATGATCAAGCCTACGACTTCAAATTATTTACTCGAACTGGAATGAGGATAGAGGATTTATTTTATTACTAAGATATGTTTAATCCGATTGAATTAGATATTAATGATGCTTGAAAAAATGAGCATAATAAAGTAATTTAAGCTATCGGAAAATAGATAAATGATAGTGTGTTTTACCAAATATCTAAAGAAATAGATGCCAAAGAATTATGAAAAAAATAGAGAGTATCTATGCAAGGAAGACTACACGAAATAAATAAATAAATAAATAACTTACTAGAAAGCTCGTGTATTTTAAATTATCGGGATGGAAGTCTATTGTTGAACACTTGAGTGTCTTTTAAGATTTGATTAATTAGTTGATAATTATGAAAATAATGTTATATGATGAGTTAGTAGAACTATTCTCATTCAAGGCTTTGCTTAGACAACTAAGAGACTTTGGTTATGACACTTGATAATTCTAGTTTGAATGTTATTTTATCATTTTTCATAATTAAAGATAGCATGTTTAATAAAGAAAAAAGATAAAGCAAAGTGGTAGTATATGAAGCATAAGCTCTTGTCACATAGAATATAAAAAAAGGAGTAGGAATAGAGAATTTAGTAAGCACTATAAATTCGAAGCGGATCATAAAGAAGTGATAGTTTTAAAATTTATTATTCTGAAAAAAAATGTCACTTTTAGAGAAATTACAAGAGGTAGAACAATCAACAAGAAGAATTGGAAAGAAGATAATAAGAACACCAATGTAGTACTAGTTTCAAATTAGGATATGACGATACTCTCATATAGAGAAAAGAAATGCAATATTGTAGATCTTTATGTTAAATAGGTTGATGACTCAGCAGTTGCATATCATGCTACTTTTAGAAAGAAATTATTTACTCGTGTATAAAGCAAAAGACTTTGAGAGAATAAATATGAACAATAATAGTTATGCTAGTGTTCAAAGAGTTGGTGATGTATGTATAAAGACATG